GCTATTACGTATTGCTATTTTATAGATTAATGGTCAACTAATTTAACTAGAAATGGAATTCAATATACCTAATCGTAATCAAATTAAAAACAGCGATAAAAATAATAACCATATGTAGTAATAGGTAATGTTAAATGACTTAAATTGAATAATAAAATTTATCGCTTAACCCATTATGAACTTCTGCAATGAGAAACAGTTGTTAAAAACTATTAAACGTGGTAAGTCTAAAAATGAGAACTTTTAAGTACAAGGGTTTTGCTATTCACTTATAAAGACCATTCACGACAATAATTCATCACGAAAAATAACAGGTTTTAAATATACATAATACAGGAGGGAGAATAATATTTAAATGTATTATATAAATATAAAAGTAAGTATAAGGATCTACAATGTGTCAAATTATTAAATAAAATCATTTTTCAATCTTTCATATATAATTAATAAGTCAAAACTCTCTCTGAATCAAACTTTTTGCTTCTTCTGAATTTCGAATTAAAGAGAACAAATAATTATGCATGTTGTATTAATTTATAAAATAATATTAACAATTTTGACTGTCAATAGTCTAAAACTGAAAGTTTATCTGTAAGAAAATAGGCAATTGCAATTATTAAAGTTTTCAATTAAATATCTACAGTTACCTTTTATTATTGAATCTAAAGCTCTAAGCTATTGAAGACTATTCTATTTGCTGTAAATAATATAAATTTAAAACACAAAGTTTAATCTAATGTTCTAGATTTATGATCAGATGAAATTCTAAACAGTTTTCGTTGTTTATAATTAAAGTTGTTTTCAGATTTATTATGGTAAGTATCTCTATTACTAGTTTTAACAGTGAAATTCTAAAACAATTAGTATCAGATTTGTATTATTATGGATATATAGTATGAATGGACCGCAGATGACTACTGTAATATTTAAAATGGTTTATTTATAAGTATTCGAATTCAATAATAAAAGAGGTGACTTTAAAATAAAGCATGATCTTATTAAAATAATACCAATATTATTACAATCATTTGAAGCATCCGACTACTATATTATAACTACATAATTTCTTAAATAAATATTTTGAATCTATAATCACAATAAATATACACTATTTAGTTTTTAAATGATAATGTAGTAGGTAAGATTGGTTAAGATATTACATACTTAAACCAGGCAACATTATACAAAATACAATTTCGGGGGAGAGGGCTTACAAAATATAGTAGGAAATACAATTGTACCGCAACATATGAAAACAATTTCTCGTTATTCTTATTTTTAATATGACAATTATTATGCTAAGTATCCAAATGTTATGCATGTTATTTGTTTAGAAGTAAGTTTATAAGAACTATTATAATAATAATAAATAAAATTTTAAATGTTATAAACAGAACAGACATTTATTTTATTAGTACCTATATGCACATAAAATTACCTAAGTATATTATACTATAAGTACCTAGATAGAAGAAAATCAAACAATTTATATATAATACGCAGTTAAAAATTCAAATTTATATAAAATCCATTTTCGTAGTAATTTCAGTTGCTAACCCATCGATTGGCTCTACCACATTTAAATCAAAATTTCTGGTATATGTTTAGTAGTAGTGCTAATCTAGTAAGTGTATTTGAGTGCATTGTTTTGTAAGTACGTTTTTAAGTCCTCCGTAGAGTTGAGAATGTAATGTTCGCAGTAACAGTTAACAGACAATGTGGCCAAAATGTACCTACAGTATTGGATTTAATAATACATAACATTTCAATTTAGAATTTTTAGTCATCGATTGAGAGTTATAAGAAAATTATTGACAAATGTGAGTTTATTATATAAAGGCTTATATCGTAAATGTTCATTTCTACTGGCTACGTGGTTCTCAGTAATCGTTATCACTATTCCACTATAATAGATAATAACAACTTGTACTTTTTATAACCCGGAGCCCTAATAGTAAACAAAAGAAAACTAACCAATAAGGTATGTGTTTATTTTTAATAGAAGGTGTATAATTTGACTTAATTTTCGAAGAATATATTTTGTGGGAGGGGATTAGACTTCCAATCTTCTGCAGAAGTTCTGTTGCAAGTGCAAGTGTTTGACTTAAAATTTTGTATTAAGATAATGTTATATTAGAAATACTAAACAAATATTCAGTGAAAATCGGTACCAATACATATCTTCGTTCATATTATGGGTCTTGATCCATATTTAATTTCCTAACATTATTTAATATATTATGTCTGCCACCATATTATTTGCAAAAATGTAGAATGAATTTTCGATAATATTTCACCGATTATTATTCGCTCGCAAGTATAATACACTATTATTCTGTTTTTATATTAATTATTCATGGCAATTGACAGCAACCAGCAACTGTCTAAATACATTGGTTCATATAATCTGGTCATTGTACTGGTATTTATGTATATAGGTGTATGATTAAAACATATGTTTGAAGTTGAAAACAGGCTCCTTGTTTTGATATAATATATTGTAACTAAACACCAACTATGCGTTAATATATAATAGCTTATTACGGTTTCTCTGTTTTATTTATTTTATTATTTGTAATAGTTGTATAAAAATGTTTATTTTTATGACTATTTCAAATATATCTACGAGATTATTTGTAAATATATCGTTGTTAGTTGAAAGTCTTTAATTAGTTAATACTTAACAAGAAGTACGTTATGCAACATACCTAAGTCATATTATTAAATTTATCATCATAAAATAAATGAATAGTTATATATTACTTATGACTTTGTTCTTTTCAATTTCAATGGATCAATCGCAACGCGCAAATACAACAACCGGCGCAATTAATTGTTAAACCAAACCATAGGTTGTTAAATTTTGTTCATATATGTTATTACCACTGACAACAGATTGTTTGGAATGGTTTTTCGTTCAAATATATTCAAAAATTGTGATTTCATATTTTTAAAATCAATGAGTTTAAAGAAAACAGATTTTAATGAGCACTATAAAATATCCAATTCTCTGCTATACAAATCGAACACCAACTAATTTATATTTAATCATAAAACATTTGAATCTTATAAAAGTATGGATTTTTAGATCAATAATTAAAAATAAGAAATAAGAAATATCTAAAATTGTAAACATTCTTCTTTAAACATACATTTTATTTTAGTTTAATTAAGATTAATTTTTGATAATTTAGTTACAGTAAAGTATTTATACGAATTTTACTGCATGTATACAAAATTAAATACTATAGTCACGTATGACTAGAAGATATTGATAGAACTTGAAGTTTCACCGTGTATGTATTCAGGAAGCTATGATTTATATGGACATTTTTGTCCAAATACTTCCATGAAGATTAGTTTGTTACCATCTAACTGTACTTCATTTGTTTATGAAGTATTAAATTTTAATGTTGAAGTAAATACTACCATATCAACAGATGATAAACGTAAGTTAAAACTATCATTGTAAAATGACATTTAGTCTTGCTATTAAATTGAAAGTAGATAAATATATAGATACTAGTAATTGCATTTTTAAGATTCTGAACAGAGATCAATTTAGGTATTGATTATTATAGAATTTATTTTTATAGCATAGACTCTCAATAATTGGATGTTTTGGATATAAAATGAATTTTAGTATGTATTTTTAAAATGTATAGATTTAAAATCAATTTTATTGAAAGAAGAAAGAAACAAAACACTAATGAAAATTAGAAATTTGCAGCAAATAATATTGAGTATTTTTATTGTATTGCAAAACAAATATTAGATGAACTTTTACCATGAGTTTTTATAAAATATTTTCATCATACATTGAGCAACATTCTATCAAACTTGTCGCTGTTTTTATTAAATTTTATTGGAACATTTTGCTTGCTAAAATTCTGTAATTTAACTTTAAATGCAATGAATTTCATAAAATACCAATACAATATTTTTATTAGACAATAAAACATTTTTAATTTATTTTAAATATTTGTTTTATTGAATAGTATAGTGTTAATTTTAAATTAATTAAAACTTTTCAATGACTGCAAGTACTATTTTTAGTAACGCAAGTATAATAATAAATAAAAATTGTGATAAAATCAATGTCAAAATAGTGCAATTCTTCGAGTTACATACATTGGAATTATTTAATGGCTAAAAATATTTCAAGTTATTTATCTTATTATACTATTCAAGTATAGAGTATATTGACATAAAAAAAATAATATGAATCTATTACCCAGAATGAATTGACTACTTATATCCATAGAATACTTCTACTTTTTCAATCACAACATTAATCTTTTAATTTACAGATTTTCATATAAATCTTTCCAAACTGGTAAGCACATTATTGTATATATTGGATTACGTAAAATCAAATGAGGTTGGAGTGATTACACACATTTGGATCAATGTTATTACAAGTACTAATTTAAAAATCTGTGTAGAATGGATCTATATACAGGTTTTAAATTCTAAATTTGAATAGTTATCCATAGTACTTAACTGATTAAAACACTAATAATAGAAATAATGTAATATCTCTAACTATGATTTATATTACGGTGATAAAAAACCATCTAAAAATTAGTATAAAGTGACGGAATGATTTAAATTCAAAAAGTATTGAGTAAACTAAAAACATGTAAAATAAATTTAATAAATTAAAATTCAATGAATATAATTATTCTTTGTTGCTTTACTTTAAAACCCACTGATTTAGAGCATGTTTAGTTGCAAATAATAATGTCTGTTTGATTTCATGCACTCCAAAAGTGCAAAATACATTAAATTTGTTTTACCAAACTAAGGTAGCACCTAAATCTAAATAGCCATAGAATCAAGTATTACTATTAACCTGACATAAAAACAAACATAAAATCTAAATATATAATATATATATAATGATAATATAAATAGATATAATTTAGTATGAATAACTGATATTCGTGTTCACAGGAAGATGAGGTAGACTCAGTTGACTCAGGTATTGTTTAGTAAGATATAAAAAAAGGTTTTATGAATATGTAATTTATTGTTGGATAACATTTCATTGTTCAATAATATCGACTGGAATAATTTCTTAAAAAATTAATAATAATTTTATAATTTAATTAGAAAATGGAAACATTGATATAAAAACATACGAAAAAAATTAAACCATTCTAACTCCTAATATTAATATTAATTAGTTATTACAAACAAAAATCTTATTTGCTATTTTTTTGTACTAGAGCAGAATTAATCTAAGACGGTTGATACTGTAAATATAAGTTTAGGTACTTGTTATCACCATTTATATTTATGATTGGTATACACATGAGTAGAGAATACTGTTTCACAAAACGTTGTTTTTTACTAAAAGTTATAAACAAACATATGTATATTCAATTTGGTTGCAACAAATGGTTGTTAACATTCCGATATAAAAAATCAAATAAAAATTTACATCATAAATTACAAAAGTTTTATCATAAATATAGATTTTACATAATATATGTTTTAATATGAATAATAGTTAATTTGTATACTCTGTTTGACTTAGATATTTTTTGATAGGACATCAAATATTTTATGATACGTTAATTATAGTTAGATAACAATGATTTATCACTTTGGTCAAAACCTTTTAAGCAGTTAAAATTTAATAAATACAGATATATTATTATTTACTGTCCTTAGCCTCAAGATGGTAATTTTGATGAAACATTTTACAAGAATTTGACAAATTATGTTACTGTATTAAAAACAAGTTCAGTGTTTTCTGAGGTTGGATTATTTATGAATGCAAGCGACATGATTTATCATAGAAATAATTCTAAGGCTCCAGGTTGTAAGTAACAAATTCAAATAGTTTATCAACTAACTTATAATTAGGAATAATTTTTTTCATAATTTTCTTTGATAGGGCTCGATTATGATAAGTGGTTGAATAATATTATGGATTATTATATAATTAGTTTTGATAAATTTAATCCATGTAATAACCAGTTTAAAACTGGAATCGTACCATTAGATAACAGTGATGCTCAGACCAATAATACCTTGGTAAAGTTGGTATTTATATGAGTTTATAAATTAGTAATATAAAGTATATAAATTTAACTTTTGTTTATATTTTATTTTTCAGATGAAATTTCAAAATGTTTTAAATGACTCAAAAATGGCAGAAGACAAAATTTATCTTGAATTTTCATTGAGCCCAACCGTAAATGACACAAATACTGAAACTCTACCCACATGTTACGTGACATATAAAAAAGTATGCAAATATTACTAATTCAATATTTTGATTAATACGCTGAAAAATAATATAAAAAATTAACTTATGTTTTTTATTACTATTTACTATTAAAACGTCATCTATACAAATTAAATGAATATAAGCAACACTTTAAGAATTGGTTTAAATTGCCTACAATCTGTCTACAATCAGGAACACTAATAAATTAGAAATAAATATTTTATTCATTGTGATAATTATAGGTATATTGGGTATAAAAGACACTATTGTTTTAAAAATATTGAAATTATTATTATGATTTTTTTTTTTTGAAATACGTTTGACGTTTTTAGTTATGTGAACTTGGCAACTATACTTTTTACTGGTGTGCTGATAATGCTGATGCACTTTTTTCAAAAGTAAAAAATTTTTAAAAATTATCAAGTGTTCCTTATGCTTGATTTTATGTATTATTTTTAATTTATAGGGTAAATTTGCAAGAGACATAAAAGCAAAAGGAATAGTAGCAAAATATATCGATACAAGTGATCCAACTGGAAATTGTGGTTGTGATAATCAAAATCAGTTTATTACTTATTCAATGATTTTCCGTGGTTTTTTAAATCAAACTCCTTTCACAGACTGTGAGAAATTTAATAATGCCACTATTCAATTAGTAAATATAATTTTACATTTTAACCCTTTGTAGTAGACCATTCATAAATGATGATAACAATTTAATTTTTTGTACAATTATTATTTATTATTTTTTTGATCAATTTAAATGTTATAATATTTAAAATTGGAGGTTATTTAATATATTTTTGAGGAGTGGGATAAATAAGTCCTATTGGTCACTTAAAAGTCCCTATGGTCCGTTACATCACTACTATTTTCTTATTTCCAATGATAAATAAGTAATAATTAATTTAAATTTAATTAATTAATTAATTAAAAGTATAATGTCTATGTGAAATTATAATATAATTCATTTTTTAAATTAACAACAATATAAACTTATAGGAAATAGTTATTGAATCAAAAAATAAATGGTCTTTTTTTTTTAAATTGTAGATTCTAGTTAAAACATGTAGTGGTTACTATGTTCAATATTATAAATATATAACTCATAATTTATCATATAAATAATCTTATGTTCTTTCGATCATTTAATTTAATAAATTTATTCGTTTTACAATTAAAAAATAAACGAGTAAATTTAAATAACAAACAAGCAGACTCAATATTCATGAACGAAAAGAATAAAATATAAAAAATAAATTCGGCGTGCGAGTCCGTGATACTGTTGGAGAGCATCAATTAATGATGTTTCTGACATAGGTACAATCTATCTAATTCTAAACCTCGCTACTATTATATTAAATCTTACATTACCTATTGAAACTGTACCTAAACTTTAGTTTTTATCAACATTTATTTGTTGATTCGACAGTTCTAATTTGAATACTATAAGTAGTAGTTCAAAATCAAATAGATATGTTGATTTTACATATTCTAATTTGTTAATTAAAGATTAACCCAAACCTTACACAAATCGATACGGCACAAACCTCTCATCACAACTAAAACGGCCGTTCTCATAGCCACACAAGATAAAAACGATATGAAAGAACAACATCATTGGTATTAGATGGCTATAGAGACGATGTGACGATCATGCGTTACTATGAGCCGTCTGAATCAATGACAAACGCAGAATTGCTAAACGACGGGCATAAATACCGGCGCATTGCATATACATTATACACGCTTCATCATTCATTCAACGTGCAGCTCTCGAAGCATCAAGTCTCTCGACGCAAACAAAGTCGCACACTCAACAGGGCACTAGCGCCCACTCACAGTCTCTCCTACAGCCACCACGCTGCCACAGAGATCAAAATCAACAGGGCATCAGCGCCCACAGGTAAGCCATTGCTAGCAACGGGAAACTACCGCTTATAGCTGTCGTGGGGCCGCGCCCTCACATCGCCGCAGCATCCCACCCCACTTACCAACCAACACCACCCATTCATCCCTCTTACTCTCAATAAAACGTTCTTTTCAGAGCGACAGGTAAAATACTGCCACTTTCGCGATGGGCGGTCGCAAACCGCTTAAGCGTAAAGGAGGTAGCGCCTCTAACACTGTACACAAACTAGCACGCCAACGCTCAGCGCCTCCCTCCCCTTCACCGTCACCAAATTCTACCGATTCCGAGACAATCGAGTCCCTTTCGGACTCAAGCACCATGACATCCTGTACTTCTGACATAGACCCTTCTTTAACTGCAGTAACCAAACCCGCTTCACCATCCGTACTTAAAAACAACTTAACTTCCATACCTAAAAACAACTTAACTTCCGTACAAAATAACAACATAACTTCCGTACCAAAAAATAACACAACCTCCGTACCAAAAGATAACTTAACTTCCGTACCAGAAATCACTACTTCCCAAACATCTGCTGCAATCAAACCAAAAAACTCAAGACCTCCGCCCATCATCCTAAACTCCAGCTCCTGGCGTAAGGTCGCCCCGGTGATCTACGCCCTCCCTAACCTTACCCCAAACTCAATGACCGCCAAGACATCGGCAAACAACAAAATCTCCATCCAGACATCAGACCCATCCCAATTCCGTCTGATTCAAAACACCCTATTATCCAATGGTACCGAATTCCACACATTCTCCCTCCCAGAAGAACGATCTGTCAAGGTCGTCCTGAAGGGAATCCCCACCGACATCCCGGTCGACGAGATCAAACGGGAACTCGAAACCCTCGGCTTTTCTATCCCATTCATCCGCCGTTTCGGCACTCCTGAAAAACCCATGCCCTTATGTCTTGTCCACATTACCGCAGACCAAAAATCCAAAGATATCTTCCTTCTAAACAATCTGTTTTATATTTCCATCTCGGTAGAACCCCTAAAATCTACCGGCCCCTCCCAATGCTTCTCGTGCCAACGCTTCGGCCACGGCTCCCGAAATTGCGGACACCCACCGAGGTGTATTAAATGTGCTGGCAACCACGCTGCCAAAGATTGCAGTAAAACCCGTGATCAATCACCGACCTGCTGCAACTGCGGCGGCCCTCATACCGCCAATTTCCGTGGATGTCCACACTTCCTTGATCAAAAGTCACTCCCACCACCAACCTCTGTCCCTATCATCCAATTACCACAAACCCAACTCCCCGTCCAACCAAAAACCCAACAACTACCCAAATCTCTTCCTCCACCTCCAGCCTCTAAACCGACCTCCACAATTTCCTATGCCTCTGCTACATCAGGGTCTGCTCACGCTCCAGGTGTCTCCCTAGCCCCCCAACTGGACCTAACCCTCATTCTAAACCTCCTAACTGCCATATCCACCAACCAGGATCCGCAAACGCTGATCCAATCGACTATCAAGACATTCCTGACCATACTCACTCCTCACAATGACTAACTTAAAAATTCTTTTTTGGAATTCGAACGGCATAAAGCACAAACTCAACGAACTACAAGTTCTCGCACTACAACTGAAAACTGACAAAATTTTACTGAACGAAACTCGACTACCCCCCTCTACAAAGCTTCACATACCAAACTACATCACATACAGGAATGACCTACCGCCCGTCCGTGGTTCCCCCGCCCACGGCGGAACGGCTGTTCTCATCCACAGACGCATTGTCCACCAACACATCACTCTCAACACGACCATCCAAACCTCTTCTGTACTCATCCAACTAAACAACCACAAAATACTAATTTCAGCGGTTTATAAACCTCCCAGTGCAATACTAACGACAAACGACCTTGACATACTCTCTAAGAGCACTGAATGGCAAATATCAGCGGGTGACTTCAACGCCAAACATCCACTGTGGTATTCCCACACGACAAACATTGCCGGCAGAGTCCTCTCTGACCACGTACAACAATCTGACTACTCCGTTATCGCTCCCTCATCCCCAACCCACTTCCCAACCAATACACGTTACAGACCTGACATACTTGACATCGCCCTTGTACGTTTACCTTACCAAACTCGTATTGAAAATCTTAACGAACTTTCTTCTGATCACAACCCCATTCTTCTAGAAATCTTATGCACTCCAATATCGTCTTCTCCTCCAACTACAAACCGTTTTATCAATTGGAACAAATACAAAACTATTCTCATATCCTTATCTAACAATACTACACCGTAAACTGACAGACAATCCATTGACCATGCAATTGACCAACTGACTAAAAACATAAGACATGCAGTAGAAGCAGCACATTTACTCCCAAACACAAAAACTCAACATTTATAATACCGCACTACATTAAAACCAAAATAACAACGAAAAACCGTTTGCGCCGTGAATGGCAAAGAACCCGCGACCCGACACGCCAACTCAACGCAAAAATATCACTAATCCGCACTTTACTTGAAACTCACAGAACGGACCAATGGGACATTTTCCTTAACTCTCTTGACCATCTCGACGGCTCTATCTACAAACTTAACAAATGTCTCCTCCACAAACGCCCAACATCTCACCCACTGACCGGCCCTGATGGCCTAGTCTTTCCGGCTACCGACCGTGCTGAACTGATAGCCGACTCCCTTGAACAACAGTTTCAAACCAACCCTGGTCCCGACATACCAGAAGTAACCACATACTACCAATCTCTACACGACACAAACATCACCAACTCTAAACTTTATACCATTCCCGGCACCATTCAGAAAATCATACACAACCTCCACAAAAAGAAAGCCCCCGGAGACGACCTCATCACTAACACAGCTCTTAAATTTCTACCCAACAATATCTTACTGTCCCTTACACAAATCTTCAATAGCTCCTTCAGAATCTGTTACTTTCCTCTTGCTTGGAAAAAATCAGTTATCATTTCTATCCCCAAACCTGGCAAAGACCACAAACTACCCGTAAACTATCGTCCAATCGCTCTACTCTCGTCCCTATCTAAAATTTACGAACGACTCATACTCACCCACCTACAAACCAATCACCGTGACAAAATTCGACCTGAACAATTTGCCTTTAGACAAGAACACTCTACCACACTACAACTGACCAAACTCACTCACCAACTGAGCCAAAACTTTAATAACAACCTTAACAGTTAACACTGCTTCTATCTTCCTTGACGTGGAGAAAGCCTTCGACCGAATCTGGCACGAAGCTCTCCTTTACAAGCTATCTCAACTCCATATTCCTACAGAAATCATCAAAATCATCGAATCTTTCCTCTCAAATCGTACCTTCATTACCAAAATTGATGATTCTTTTTCGTCCACCAGACACATCCTTGCAGGTGTCCCTCAAGGCTCATGCCTATCCCCAACCCTCTTTTTAACTTTCATCAACGATTTACCGACCACTTCTAAAGCCTTTCTCTCATTGTTCGCGGATGACACTATGTTCTTCACCACCGATACAAACCCAAAACGCGCAGCTATCCAATTACAACATCAACTTGACCTGGCTACCACTTGGTTCTACCGCTGGCGTATCAAAATAAATCCGACCAAAACTGTAGCAGTCCTATTTGGGCGCTCAAACACAACTCACATACCACCACTACAAATCAACAATTACCCTCTACCATGGTCTAAACAAGCTAACTACCTCGGCGTTACTATCGGACGTAAACTTACCTTCGGACAACACATACATAACATAACTAAAAAAGCTACCCGCACTCGTGGAATGCTTTACCCTATTCTCAACCGCACCAGCCCCGTACCATTGACAACCAAACTCAACATACTCAAACTCTACATCTCTCCAATACTTACATATGCAAGCTCTTCCTGGGCACCCTTCATTGGCCCTTCTCAGTGGCGCCGTATTGAATCCGTTCAAAACATCGGTATACGTACGGTAACGGGCATGCCTTCTTTCGTTAAAAATTCGGTGCTTTTAAAATCAACTAACTTCAAATCTATCCAAAATTCGATCCAC